CTGTTACTGGAGTTTAGGGGTTGGTCGGTGAGATAGTTTGGATATTTGTCCCCACCCAAATCTCATGTTGAAATGTAATCCCCAATGTTGGAAGTGGGGGATGGTAGGAGGTGTTTGGATCACAGGGCAGATCCCTCATGAATGGCTGGGGCCATCTCCTTGGTGATAAGTGACTCTCACTCAGTTCACATATGATCTGGTCGTTTAAAAGTTTGGTACTCTCTACTCCAACTAGCTCCTGCTTTCACTGTGTGCTGTGCCTGCTCCTCCTTGCTTTCCACCATGATTGAAAGCTTCCTGAGGAATCCCTAGACAAGAAGGTGCTGGTACCATGCTTCCTGTGCAGCCTGCAGAGCCGTGAGCCAATTAAACCTCTTTTCTTTATAAATTATCCAGTCCCAGGTATTTCATATATATATATACATATATATATGTGTATATATATATATATATATATATATATATATGTGTGTGTGTATATATATATAATACTTTAAGTTCTGGGGTACATGTGTAGATCTTGCAGGATTGTTACATATGTATACACTTCCCATGGTGGTTTGCTGCCTCCATCTCCCCATCACCTATATTAGATATTTCTCAGATGTTATCCCTCCCCAATCTCCCCACACCCTGCTATCCCTCCCCTAGCCCCCTAGTCCCCAGTTGACCCCAGTGTGTGATGTTTCCCTCCCTGTGTCCATGTGTTCTCATTGTTCAATACCTGCCTATGAGTGAGAACATGTGGTGTTTGGTTTCCTGTTCTTGTGTCAGTTTGCTGAGAATGATGGTTTCCAGATTCATCCATGTCCCTGCAAAGGATATGAACTCACCCTTTTTAATGGCTGCATAGTATTCCATGGTGTGTATGTGCCACATTTTCTTTATCCAGTCTATCATCAATGGGCATTTGGATGGGTTCCAGGTCTTTGCTATTGTAAACAGTGCCTCAGTGAACATATGTGTGCATGTGTCTTTATAATAGAACGATTCGGGTGTATACCCAGTAATGGGTCAAATGGTATTTCTATTTCTAGATCCTTGAGGAATCAGGTATTTCTTTATAGCAATGCAAGAATGGCCTACTACAGTTGGTTTTTGGTGGGCAGGAAGGAATGTTTTACATGATAGCTTCATTTCCAAGTATAACAGTCCCTGATTATCTGCAGTTTCACTGTCCACGGTTTTAGCTTACCCTTCGTAGTGCAACAAAGCATTTTGAGAGAGAAAGAGACCATATTCACATAACTTTTATTATAGTATGCTTAGAATTATTCCTATTTCATTATTAGCTATTGTTAATTTCTTACTGAGCCTAACTTACAAATTAAACTTGATCATAGGTATGTAGAGGAAAAAACAGTATGTCTAGGGTTCAGTAGTATTTAAGGTTTCAGGAATCTACTGGGGTCTTCAAACATATCCCCCATAGTTAAGGGAGGCTGCTACAGCTTCATAGCAGACACTTCTTTTGTGTCAATCCAGTGCAAAATTACCCCTTTCCTCTGAGGTCTGTCCCCACACACCCATTAGCTGACTGCTTGGCAGCCCTTCTATATTAAGAGACCCATATCCCTAACCCAGCTGTCTCTTGGGGACTATGGAACTGTGATCTCTGTGTATGGCTGAAACTACAGTGATATAATCTTGGAAGAAAAGGATAAAGCAGATGAGGCCTAGGAATTCCTGACAGCTTCTTGCTCCCTGGGTCTTGGCCCTCAGGAATCCAGATATCCTTCCCCAGCATCCTTCTAGTAACTCCCTTTTTTGAGTAAAATAAGTCTAAATGGTTTCTATTTGAATACTGACTAAGAAAGACTGCATTTGGGCTGGATGTGGTGGCTCACACCTGTAACCCCTGCACTTTAGAAGGCCAAGGCAGGTGGATCACAAGGTCAGGAGATCGAGACCATGTGGTGGCACACGCCTGTAGTCCCAGCTACTCAGGAGGCTGAGGCAGGAGAATCACTTGTATTTTTAGTAGAGACAGGGTTTCACCATGTTGACCAGGACGGTCTCGATCTCTTGACCTCGTGATCCACCCGCCTCAGCCTCCCAAAGTGCTGGGATTACAGGCGTGAGCCACCGCGCCCGGCCTTCCAAATTTCATTCCTAGATACACACCCAGAAGAAGTGAAAATATGTCCACATAAAAACTTGTAGGCAATGGCCGGGCACGTTAGCTCACGCCTGTAATCCTAGCACTTTGGAGGCCAAGATGGGCAGATCACCTGAGGTCAGGAGTTCAAGACCAGCCTGGCCAACATGGTGAAATCCCATCTCTACTAAAATACAAAAATTAGTCGGGCATGATGGCACGTGCCGTGCCTGTAATCCCAGCTACTCAGGAAGCTGAGATGGGAGGATCGCTTGAATCCGGGAGACAGTGGTTGCAGTGAGCCGAGATCATGACACTGCACTCCTGCTTGGGCAAGAAAGACAGACTCCATCTCAAAAAAAAAAAAAGAAAGAAAGAAAGAAAAAAAAAACTTGTAGGCAAACGTTTATAGCTAGCATAAAACTCATGACAGCTGAAAAGTGGACGTAATCCAAATGTCCTTCCACTAATGAATGATACTCAAAAATGTGGCATATCCATTCAATGAAATACTATTTAGCAATAAAAACAATGAAGTACTGATACAGGCTACAATATAGATGAACCACATAATTGTTACATTAAGTGAAAGAGGCCAAACACACAAAAGCCTACATATTTGTATGATTCCATTTATATAAAATGGTCTAAAAAGGCAAATCCATGGAGACAGGAAGTAGATTACTGGTCGCCTCAGGCTAAGGGGAGGGAATGAACATGACTGCAAATGGACACAGGGGTTCTTTCTGGGGTGAAGGAAATAAATGTTCTAAAATTAGATTGTAATGATGATTGTGCAATTCTGTACGTTTACTAAAAATCATTGAATTATACACCTAAAGCGGGTGCATTTCATGATATATAAATTATACCTCAATAAAGCTGTTTTTTGAAAATATAACTCAAATATTTAACAGGTAGAATTCATGACCTAATCAAAATACCATCCGTTGCTGCACAGAATCAAAGGCAGGAACTTTCTATGACAAAATATTCACAGTGACTATCTCCAGCAATTCCACAATAACATTTTTTTTCTGTTTGCTTAAGCGTGTTTAATAAACGTTCTACACTGACCACATGGCTCTCCTAGCAACAACGATGTGGCGGCGGCTGCTATTGTGGTTGTTGTTTTAAATTAAAAGCATGGAAAAGTAAATAAAATAAAATAAATTAAAAGCATGGGTAAATTGATTTATAAGCTTGCAGTGGGGAAGGCCTTTTAAAATAAGACAGAAAAGCCGAAAGCCTAAAGGCACTCTGCCAAATCTGCCATATAAAATGTTAAAAATGTTGCTGGGGCAAAAACCAAACCAAACAAAAACAAGATCTAAGCACAAAGTTAAAATACACAGGACAAACTGGAGAAAACATTTACTGAACACAATGAAAGACAAAGACTATTTTTCTTAATTTATCAAGCTCAGCCAAATCAGTAAATTCTGAACCCAATGGGAAAAATGAGCAAAGAATATGAATAAACAATTCACAGAAAAAGAAATATTAACTATCGTTTTCCATACGAAAAGATTCTTAACCTTGTTCACTTTCTGGTGAGAGTATAAACTGTTGCCCAGGCTGGAGTGCAATGGCACAGTCTCAGCGCACTGCAACCTCCACCCTCCAGGTTCAAGCAATTCTCCTGCCTCAGTCACCCGAGTAGCTGGGATTACAGGCACCTGCCACCACACCCAGCTAGTTTTTGTATTTTTAATAGAGATGGGGTTTCGCCACATTGGCCAGGCTGGTCTCAAACTCCTGACCTCAGGTGATCCACCCACCTCAGCCTCCCAAGGTGCTGGGATTACAGGCGTGAGCCACTGAGTCTGGCCAAACTTGTATGATCTTTTTTAAGGGCAATTTGACAAAATCTACCAATACCTTTTTAAGGTGTAGTTCCACATTGTGTGACTTGGGACTTTCACTCCTATGAAGTTACCCTCGGTCGAGCGCAGTGGCTCATGCCTGTAATCCTAGCACTTTGGGAGGCCAAAGTGGGTGGATCACATGTGGTCGGGAGTTCGAGACCAGCCTGATCAACACGGAGAAACCCCATCTCTACTAAAAATACAAAATTAGCCAGGCATGGTGGCACATGCCTGTAATCCTAGCACTCTGGGAGGCCGAAGTGGGTGGATCACCTGTGGTCGGGAGTTCGAGACCAGCCTGATCAACACGGAGAAACCCCATCTCTACTAAAAATACAAAATTAGCCAGGCATGGTGGCGCATGCCTGTAATTCCAGCTACTCGGTTGGCTGAGGCAGGAGAATCACTTGAACTAGAAGGTGGAGGTTTTGGTGACCCGAGATCAAGCCACTTGCACTCCAGCCTGGGCAACAAGAGCAAAACTCCGTCTCAAAAAAAAGAAAAAGAAATTACTCTGTAGACTACACTAACAAAAATATTCCAAGATAGATATAAGCATATGTTCATTGCAATGTGGTTATAGTGAGAAAACTAAAACTTGAATATCCATGAGTAAGGAATAAACTGAATAAATTATGCTACCTTACAAATGGAATTCTATTTAAGAAGTATTAATTACATCTACATGTGCCAGTGCATAAATATCCCTGAGAAATATGAAGTGAAGAAAGAAAAAAGCAGCAGAATAAATATGGAAAAAAACCCATGTTCTACAAAGATAAGTATATATGTACACACATTTTTTTTCAGAGATAGTAATGGTTATCTTTGAAATGAAGGACTGCTGGGAAGAAAGGCTATTTACTTTTCATTTGGACTTTCCCGTGCTGTTTTGCACATTTTAAGGCTGTGCCTGCAATTTTTTAAATGTCCACAAAGGCTAGCTAGGAGGTAGGATTATAAACCATTTTTGTTTTCATATTTTTTACTTATCCATATTTAAAAATAACTTAATGGATTTGTTATTTCAACAGATTATTCTTTTCTGCTTGACCTCAAGTTACAGAGATGCCAGATGAAGTCAAAGAGGATACCAGATGCACCCAGGCTGCTGGGGAGGCACGTACGTCTGAACTGGCCCAGGGCAGCTGTTCTCCAGGGCAGGGCTTGGCCATGGCAGTGGCCCCAGCGCCTGCATTCAGCCCAACCCACCAGGTCACTCCAGTCCAGTCTGTAATGCTCAGATCCCCAGGCAATCGCAGGTCTGAGGCCGAAAGAACTATGAGAATGTGCATGGTGATATCAGGCACATGCTCTGAATGAAGGAAGAGAAACCTAAGCACTTCAAGGGGCAGTGTTCAGAGGAGGGAAAAGACAGCAGGGTCTGCATGTGATCCCTACCTGGACTCTCTTAGAAACTCCATTATCCTCTTCTCCAACGATGTATTCCCATTCCAGAATTTCTTACCTTAACGTATTCAGCCTAAGATAACGTGCAGAAATGAGTAAATGGGGAATTTTTACTTTTCTGCAATGAGCATGCATTATTTTTCTCATCATACAAATCTGTTTTTAGAAAACAATAAATGATGGATATAGGCCCACCTGGATGAAGGTATGCTTTCTACTGGAGTCTGTAGAGAACTTCAACCAGATCTGCTTTGCTCCCACCTGGTAACCCACATTCTCCACTTGGAAATAAGGACAGAAAAAAGCAAGGAGATTAAGGACATGATCAGTGAGGGGGACTTTGAGGACTGGCCGTATGTTTCTCCTGGGGAAGGGCTGGGGTGGAAGGGAACTTACAAGTGGAGGGGGCGAGAGAAAGGGAAGGAAAGAATACTGGTGTGTGCATGCTTTGGGGTCTATTTAACTAGGTGCTCCCAATTTCTCTTCCATCAATCTTTATAGAATTTGCTACGTATTTGCACTACTCAGCTCCATCCTGCTGACTTTATCATTTTCTCACGCTGAATCAATATTTGTAAATCGAGGAAGGAAGCAAGGCTAAGTAGGGGTGGTGACAGTACCTCTCAGGCTGGGCACTAGAGGGCAGAAGCTTCTAGGAAATCATCACAGGCAGACCCTCACTTCTAAAAATGCCCAAGGATCTACAACACTGATGAACCTGGAAAACATTATCCTAAGTGAAATCAGCCAGACCCAGAAAGACAAATACCGCATGATCTCACTAGTGTGGAATCTAAAAACATGTCAAGCTCACCGTAACAGAGAGTAGTATGTGGTGGTTACCATGGACTGGGAGATGTTGGTTAAAAGGTACAAACTTTCAGTTATTAGGTGAATAAGGTCTGGAGACCTACTTTACAGCACAGTGATTATAGTTAATAATAATGTGCTGTGGAGGACGGTGGCATGCATCTGTAATCCCCACTACTCAGGAGGCTGAGGTAGAGGATCACTTGAGCCCAGGAGTATGAACCCAGCCTGGACAATGTAGTGAGATCCTATCTCTAAAAAAGGGGGAAAAAATGTATGCTTGAAATTAGCTAGGAAAATAGATCTTAAGCATTCACACCACACAAAAACAAAGGTGATAGATATGTTAATAGCTTGTGGTAATTACTTCACCATGTATACATATATCAAAGCATCACATTGTACACCTTAAATGTGTACAATTTTTTTTGAAACAATTTTTTGGTTCTTGTTGTTCAGGTTGGAGTGCAGTGGCATTAACTCAGCTCACTGCAATCTCTGCCTCCCGGGTTCAAGTGATTCTCCTGCCTCAGCCTCCCAAGTAGCTGGAATTACAGGCATGTACCACCATGCCCAGCTAATTCTGCATTTTTAGAAGAGATGGGGTTTCACCATGTTGGTCAGGGTGATCTTGAAGTCCTAACTCAGGGTAATCCACCCACCTCGGCCTAGCAAAGTGCTGGGATTATAGGTGTGAGCCACTGTGCCCAGCCAAATGTGTACAATTTTTATTTGTCAATCTTACTTCAGTAAAGCCAGGGTTGGGGGGCAGAGGTGATTGACGAAAGAGCCTCTGAATGCAAAAACATTTAGGAATACCTTAACCAATTAGATTGGTTTGTATTTCCTTTTCTATCTGTGCACAAGAGTGACATAAAATGGAAAAAAAAATCAATGTCTAGCTAATTCTAAAACAGCTCTTCTGATATGTTTACAACGAAAATTCTGTAAGATAATAAAGTATTTAGTGATTTTTTTTAAATGCCCAAAAAGGGGAACACTCAACAGCCGATCATGGCCACTACGGCCTGAGTGTCTAAAACCATATCACCAAGTTGCTCGTTGTTCGGTCAAAGTTCTGCCTTATGATGGGAAAAAACAATCTATGTTAAATTGAATTTTGGCCTTCTTAGGCTCATTTGCACAGGTTATCTTACGTAGACTTGATTTCTGCAAGTGCTACCTCAGGGTCTTGGCTCCCAACTCTCTGATGATTCTTTGGCTGTGTCCTGCACAGTATTTGTTTCTCTACAGGATGAATGCTGTCCGTGTGAGTGCTGAGAACCAGAGTCTATTCAGGATGGAGGGTGTATACAAAGGAGGGGGAACTGGGGCACAAAGAGAGGAAACTGGTCCCCGTTCTTTAGTTTGCTCCCCATTCCGGCCTCGTTTTAACACAAAGGCAGGCGTTGCTGACAGCTGTTGTAGGGGACACAGGGAGGTCTTCCACTTCCTGGTTTCAGGTTGAACTCCGCGTCACCTTTATCAAAATTCATTGAACAGCCCAAGTTTTTGACCTGATCCTGGCTCTCTTTGTTGTGAGTCCGCATCTGCAGAGTCTCTGCTCCTGGTTGTGACACCTCCTTAGTCATCTTCCGGCATCTCTCCTATGGGCACCACTACTTGCCCACAACTGCTGTCCTAACAGTATCTTTCAGCATTTTAACTGTCACCTTCTAGGTTAACCCCATTTAAAAAGAGGTTTTGTTTCGATCTTGCCTCTGGGATGTAACAGCTCAAACCACAGGGCTCCTTTTGAGCAGCTACCAAATCATGTGGCTCCAGGAAATTCTTCACTTTCCCACCATTTGCTGTTAATTAGTTAACTCCGAAGTTCCTAGTACTCCTGGCTGGGGGATTCAAAACAAGCCCAAGGCAAGATTCTGACTTTCAAAAAAACTAGCACACACACAGAACAACAGAAGAGTAATTCAGAATGAGATTTTAGGACAATAATTTTTAAAGCTACTTTTTAAATAAATAAACAACCATGCCCGTAAAGAAGGCCATTGTAGGCTGAGCGCTGTGGCTCATGCCTGTAATCCCAGCACTTTGAGAGGCCAAGGCGGGCAGATCATGAGGTCAGGAGATCGACACCATCCTGGCTAACACAGTGAAGCCCTGTCCTTACTAAAAATACAAAAAATTAGCCGGGGGTGGTGGCAGGCGCCCGTAGTCCCAGCTATTCGGGACACTAAAGCAGGAGATTCACTTGAACCTGAAAGGTGGAGGTTGCAGTGAGCTGAAATCCAGCCACTGCACTCCAGCTTGGGTGACACAGCGAGACTCCACCTCTAAATAAATAAATAAATAAATAAATAAATAAATAAATAAAATCTTACAGTCCAGAAAGAGAGGAAAGGCAGAAAACCATATGCAACGTTAGACAATACATGAACAAAATACATATCCAGCGAGACGTTTCTGAAGAGGGAGTATTATGGGTTGAACTGTGTCCTCTTCTCATTCACTGTTCATACACTGAAGTATGAACACCCAGTCCCAATCCCCAGTACCTCAGAATGGGACTTTATTTGGAACCAGGGTCATTGCAGATGTACCTGGTTAAGATGAGGTCATACTGAAGTAGGGTGAGCCCTAATCCAAAATGATTGCCATCCACATAAAAAGGGGAAGGAGAGAGTCCCCCACGCAGGGAGAATACCATGTGAAGATGGAGAGAGATCTGAGATGGTTTCAGATGAGTTTCCATATTCAGTCGCATTGATATTAATAGCTTAATGCCTGTGCTTTAAGGACTAACACTAGGAAACGCAACTGGAGCAGTTCTGAGACAGATGACAGAAAGCACGGGTTCCAGGAAAGGAGAGGTCACGGTAATCTGGCTTTTCTGAAGTGGCAAAGCCACTTACCTCATTAATGCCTCAGTTTTGTCTGTAAAAAGAAAGCAATGCACTCCCCCCTTTTTTTTTACTCTCTCAAAAATGTGATGAGGATAAATAAGATGAGATTAAAAGATGTTTATGATGTGGGGAAATAATTTAAAAACAGATAGATACAGGCTTTGAGCAATAGAAACGTGTGTGTGTGTGTGTGTGTGTGTGTGTGTGTGTGGTGTCTGTGGATAAGCATTTACATATCCATATGTGTGTGTGCCATTAGATGGCAGCAGGAAGCTAATTGATAACAAAGTCAGCTTCAGCCAAGTTTCTCCCTATATTACACAGATGTCCTGTGACTTTGTCTCATTGACTCAGTCTCAACAGGATTCTGTGTCTCTGTCTCTTTGTCTTCTCTTTCTCCCTCTCTCTTTCTTCTCTTTCTTCCCCTTTCCCTCTCTCCCCAACTGAAAGAAACCACCTTTTATTATATTACGAAAAATGCCAAATGTTCACAAAAGAATAGTACAATGAGCCCTCATTAATCCAACATACAAATTCAACAATTCTGCCATACTTTCTTCAACCCTCCATCCACCTTTCTCTCCTTCCCTCCCTCCCCACTGTATTGTAAAGCAAATCTCAGACTTCATGATTTTCCCTCTACTTCGGTGTGCATATGTAAAAATTATGTCCATATCCACACATAATCATAATGACACTGTGAACCCTAGTAAAATTAATGATGATTTCTTGGAAATCTTACCATGTCTCTTTTCAATGCTTTGAAGCAAGAATGATAGCCATATTTTACATAATTTATAATTTAGCAAATAGATTATTTGAATAATAAACCAGTTCCATTTTGAAGGTTTCTGATGCAGCACTCATCAGAAACCTTCAAAGTGGAGGTTTAAAAAAAAAATACTTGGGCCGGGCGCTGTGGCTCATGCCTGTAATCCCAGCACTTTGGGAGGCCGAAGCGGGGAGATCACGAGGTCAAGAGATCGAGACCATCCTGGTCAACATGGTGAAACCCCGTCTCTACTAAAAATACAAAAAGTTAGCTGGGCATGGTGGCACGTGCCTGTAATCCCAGCTACTCAGGAGGCTGAGGCAGGAGAATTGCCTGAACCCAGGAGGCGGAGGTTGCAGTGAGCCGAGATCGCGCCATTGCACTCCAGCCTGGGTACCAAGAGCGAAACGCTGTCTCAAAAAAAAAAAAAAAAAAAAAAAACTTGAGAAAAGTATGGATTGACCACATTGAAAGTTGCAAGGCTTGAGGAATGTTTTCCCATGATTTTAGTCCTTCTCATCAGTGTTCTATACCTCAGTTCTAGTAACTCCAGAATGATGCTATTACCTGACAGTATTCTAATGAAGATTAAAGAAATAACATCTGTTATTCTTATTAAGTTCACTGAGGCAGGATGGGGCTGGGTGCCAGTAAATGGAGCAGATAAATGATGTGAGG